TACATAAACTACTGTATATGATGTATTGTCGAAGGCTTTCACGGCCGGCATACGATGGCTGGTGTGGGTCTTCCGGGCTGTGTGGCCGTGTTCTTGAAGTTTTGTTTCCTAACGTTTCGCCAGCACCTGTGACTGGCATCTACAGAGTGGCACAGAGAGAACTGCTCCTGTCTGTGCTCCTGCACTCTGCACTCTGCACTCTGAAGATGCCGGTCACAGGTGCTGGCGAAACGTTAGGAAACAAAACTTCAAGAACACGGCCACACAGCCCGGAAGACCCACACCAGCCATCGTATGCCGGCCGTGAAAGCCTTCGACAATACATCAAGCTGTTAATGTTTAGTATTAAGAGTGAACTAACTCCATGTTACTGTGCTGCCCCAGTGACTCCAGTCTGCTCAGGTTTTCCTGAAGGAAAGGCTCAGTAAGACAAAAACTAGTGCTTATTCATCGAAATCTGGAACTGCACCCCAACGTTAGCGAAGGGGCTCGTCTGGATTTGCTAAACTCTCAGCTTCCGGATTCGCCATTTCCACTCAAGCATTATGCATTAGCCACAAAGGGAAGAAACCCGGCAAGGCGACCGAGGGCCGTTTTTCCTAGTGGACGAGCGGAAGGGCCGAAACCAGGCGCAGCGGAGCTGACCGGCCCCCGAGAACAGCGTTTCTGCCCGACCGCCCTGCAAAGCACAGGGAGGATGTGCACCTCACGTCGCCCTCTCGCCCCCTCCCAAGGCCCTGGACTCCGCGGGTGCGCCTGAGACTGGCACGCGAGGCGGGGGGAGGAAGCTTCTCAGGCGGAGCGGAAGGGACGCGGGGCACGCAGGCAGCAGCTGCGGCGCCAATGCGGCCGCGGCGCCGGGCTACGCAGGGAGAGCTGCCCACCCGGCCTGCCCAGGGCCCTCCCTCCGGCGCCAACCGGGCCCCCAGCCCAAGAGGACCCGCCCGCCTCTCCTCACGCCCCGCGGCCTTACCTTGCGGTCCTCCGGGCCGCGCCAGGGCTCCCCGGCGAGCGGGCGCCTGAGCTC